TGACTAAGGCCTGAATTGTTTTCAATTTTCAATTGAGGGGTTATTTTAAAGCAAATAGATGACCTGGTGAAAGGGAGAAAGAGAGTGAAGAGGGAGTGTGGGAAAGAGAGGCTTTGTAATGACTTGCATGTGAGGACAGCCTGGGACCCCTTTCTCCAACATCATCTGGTTTGGCTTAGTGGATAGAGCGTTGGCCTGCGGATTGAAGGGCTGGCGGTTCGATTCCAGCCGAGAGAGAGAGGGAGAGAGAGAGGGAGAGAGAGAGACTTTTGGAGCAGGAGCAGGGTCTTAGGCGACCCTTGTGAAAGGGTCGTTCGACCTCCAAAGGGGTCGCGACCCACAGGTTGAGAACCGCTGCTCTAGAATGTGAGCTCTAAGAGACTAAGATTTGTTCTGTTTGCTGACATCTTCAGTATGGACAGCAATGCCTGGCTCAAGAAACACTTATCGAATGAATGAATGAATGGATGAAGCGTACCTGTCATTTGACAGAGAAGGTGGGCAGCACTCCCCAAGAGGTTCTGGGGTGTCCCCTTGGGGGCAGTGGAGCCAGCCCCACGCTTCCTCCTGCATGAAATCTGCTGTCCGGGTTCTGATGTTCCGGCACAGCTGGCAGCTCTGGTCACTCAGTGGGGCTGGTTTTCCTTTTGTGCAGACACCACCTCTTCCTGGGAGCCCTCCCAGAGCTGTCCCAGCCGTTAGGGAAAGTCCGCCCTGCCCCTCCCTGCCTGACACAGTCCTCCTGAGATCTGTACTGGGTGTCCGTGAGCTCCCCTGCGGCCCTGAGTCATGCCCAGAGAACACCTGGAGGCCTGCCCCGGCCCCTGTGGCCTCAGCCACGCCCCTTCCGTTAGTTAAGCCTCACAACAACCATCGGAGGTAGTCATTACTGTCCCCATTTTACAGATGAGGAAACTGCGGTCAGAGGCCGCAGAAGTGACTTACCCAGGTCCCACGGCTGGCGTCACAAGGTGGCCTCCCGGGCCTCCTGGCAGCACAGCTGTGTTCACAGTTGATGCTCAGGTTTTTGGCGAATGAATGGAAGGATGTACCTGAGTCCTCCAGAGGGAGCGGTGGAGACGCTGAAATCACAGCATGTGCCAGTCGCTGCCGGGTGATCAGTGTGGCCCATCCATGCTCAGCTGCCGGGAGATCGCGGCTTTGCTGGTGTTCTGTGCGGAGAAAGAAAAGGCAGTCTCCCTTCCAGAGTCCCAGGGACCCACCTGTGGGATGTGAGGAAGTCACATGACCTTGCCCATCCCTGGTCCTAGAAGGGTTGAACTATGAGCCAGAAATTAGGAACAGAGCTGGGACCAGGGCCCCCTGTCTCTTGACCTCAGTCCTACCTTTGTTCTCTGCCTACTACATTCATAATGGCTATGTCCCTAGGACCTGTCTCAGCTTCCTCATCTGTAAAGTGGGGGTAACTGTGCCTGTCAAAAGGATCCAAGATTAAATGAGATCGTACAAGAAAAGTGCCTGGCAGAATGGAAAGTGAAGCATATAATTATTAACTGGCTCCAGGAAAGGCATAGATATATCAACTGATTCTATTACGTTTTGAAAATGAAATGTATTTTAATTAAACACCACCTTTGCAATTATTCTGTGTGTGTGTGCGTATACATATATACATATATATATAAATAAAATAATTGGGACACCCTGTATATATATTTTATATTTATATATGACATTGCTTCCTCCTTCCCTGCCTTACAAATGCATCTCCCAGGCCTGGAATGCAAAGTTGGTCATTAGAAGAGACCTATTTGTTTAGGAAAAAAAGTAATAATAATAGTGCTCAGTGGAGGAGATGGTGTGGCAAAACCAGCACAGTGTGGCAGCATTTTGTGAGCATTTTAAACATGCCAGGTAAATATTTTATCAAATGTTAAGTATTAATACATTCTCATTTTATCTGGTCTCGTAACTTTTAAAATGTATGTCAAGAAACAAATAATTTCAAAGCTGTCCATTTAAGTGAGCTACAAACTGGATTTACAATACTGCTAAATATGGTGTTTTAAAAATTGGTAAATAAATATAAGTATCTCCTCCTGCCTTTCTTCAGGATTAGTCTTTTTTTGTTATTGTTACTCCTTGCCCGAGGATATTTTTCCATTGATTTTTAAAGAGAGAGAGTGAAAGGGATGGAGAGAGGGAGAGAGGGAGGGAGGAAGAAAGAGAGAGAGAGAGAGAGAGAGAGAGAGAGAGAGACATCAATGTGAGAGAGACACATCCATTGGTTGCGTCCCACATGTGCCCCAGGGTGGGGATCAAACCTGCAACCAGGTACCTGCCCTTGACCGGGAATTGAACCCAAGACCCTTCGGCACGTGGGCTGATGCTCTAACCACTTAGTCCCATGGCCAGGGCAGGATTAATCTTGAATTCCATCTATTCCTCAGCAGGATATTGGTGCTCAGGTTTTTGGAAAATGAATGAAAGGGCATACCTAAAGACTATACTTTCAGGGATCATTTCTATAGTTCTTTACTAGAGAAGTTTCTCTGAACATGTAGAGCACCCGAAACCACGAGGAGGAGATGCAGCATCCTCTCCTGAGCGTGAAGCTGGCTCTTGGTGTTGCTTCAGTAACTGCCACTTGCCATTGATGATCGTTCTTCTCTCTCTTGGGAAAGAAGAGGGAGAGGATGCATTCTGAATGGTTTTCGAAAAAAAAAAAAAAAAAAGGCATACCTGAGTTCAGCAATATTCCTGGTGGGAGGCGCAAGATCCTGACACAGCTGCATGTCACGAGGGCCAACCCCTTGGTAGACAGCGATCTGACAGAACATATCAAGAGCCATAGAAACCATCTGTACACTTTGACCAGTTGTTTCCTCTGAAGTTTGTCCTCGTGAAACAAAGCAAAGCAGAAATGGAAGCCCATAGGATGCTGATGGCCGTGCTGGTCACAGCGGAGGAGGAGGGCGAGCACACTCAGTCGTAACAATGGAGACCACAGAGTGAGTGATGCTTGCATCCCTGGCTCGTCAGCCAGCAAAAATGATCATTCTGGGGAGACAACGTAGGTAATACTTAGGTTCAAAGGTTTCCTGTCAAAGGGGAAATGCATTGAGACTCCAGTCTCTGCTCTCGGGGCCATTTTCTTTCCTCCCTGTTTGATGCTCACAACAGCCCCTGGACGTAGACACAGCAGGGTCCTGGTTCAGCCTCCCCTGATCCAGGGGAGGAAACCAGGCTGAGCAGTGAGAAGCCACAGGGACTCAGACTGGGAACTGGGACGGCTCCCGGGTCTCCTAACAGAGCAGTGAGGGGCCTGACCCTGACATGGGGACCCAGCAGCCAGCCCCAGAGCCGGGAGCCGGGAAGAGAGATCCTCTCAGCCGGGGCAGCCCCCAGCTCCCGAACGAGGACAGTGCAAGACAAAGCCCTGTCCTCACCCACCCTCCCTGTCTCATCCAGCGGAGGTGGCCCCTGGGCTGGCCCTTCCTCTCTCTCAGGCTGGGGTTCCCCCACCCCCACCCCGTCCCTGGGAGATTTGGAAGATGCCCAGTCCCTGGCCCCACCTTGTTCTGAGCTGGGCTTCTAGGAAGCCCCATCTACACCCATGACATCATGTGGGAAAACCCTCAGACACTCTAGCACCCGATGCAGGTGCTTGTTGCTCCTACTATTAAGAAACTAAGTTGTAATGTGAAAATTTCCCATCGTGCCCAAACTGGTATTGACGTAACAGACGCTCACCTCCAGGCCCAGCTTAGGGAAGAAACACATGCAGGGAACTGAGGGCTCCTGGTGTCCCTTCCCAGGCCCCTCCCCACCCCCGTCACAGAGGTGACCAGGCCAGAGCGGCGTTTGTCCATGAACGTCCAATAGGGTTGTTTTGCATGCTTTTAAACTTTCAGTGGTTTCATGCTGTCTTGTATTTATTCCACAAATTCACTCAAAAAATATTGATGGGGCACCCACTATATGTGAGGCACCCTTCTAAGCTCGGGAATATTGGTGAGCAGCACCGATAAGGTCACTGTGTTTGTGGTGTGTACATTCCTGTGGGTGAGCCAAATGATAAGCAAAAGTATGGATTATAGATGAATCATGTAATATGTTAGAACGGGAGGTGCAAAGGGGAAAAATGAAGTCGGAGATGTGGAGGTGGGATGTTGCAATTTTAAGTACCACCATATCCTTCTATATCTTGCTTATTTACTCATGATTATATTTTTCTTTCTTATGAAAGCACCATCTCATTTCCTTGTCAATAAATACTTAAGGTTTTTTGGTCGTCATAGACAATATTGCCATAAGCATTCTTGTAAATGTCTCTTTGCACACACTCAGGAGAGAGCATTTTTGCATAAGTTTATCTACCATTTGTGTTTCTTCTTTAATGACTAGAAATTTCACTGACTTTGGCCTATTGATATCATATCTGCTAATCTTGGGGACTAATAACTGGTCTGTAGATTTCTTTGGGTTTTCTAAATAAATAATAATAATAATAAATTATCTGCAAATAATGACACTTTATTTCGTTCTTTTCAACTGTATGCCATTAATTTATTTTCTTTATTTTATTACTTTATGTAAAAACTTCTGCCATTAAGTGTATTGATTTTAATATTTAAGAAAAATAAATTCAAAAGTACAATGCTGAGTAAAAAAGGTAACAGGGGCATCCTTACTTTTTCCTGATTTTAAAGGAAGTATTTCTATTGTTTACATATCAAGTAATGTTTTATCTAAATTTTTTTAATAGATAACTTTTATCATGTTAAGGAAATTCCCTTCTACTTCCAATCTGTTTAGAGTTTGATCATCAGTTAGTGCATACTTTTGTCAAATACCTTTTCTGCATCTACTTTTCTTATTCTTTAATCTATTAATGTGGTAAATTACCTTTATAGATTTTTCTAACATTAAGTCAGCTTTGTATTGCTGGGATAAACTCAACTTGGTTATGATACATTATCTTTTTTACACACAGCTGCTTTATTTTAATAATATGTTATTTAGGATTCTTACCTCTATGCTCTTGCGTGAAATGGGCCTGTAATTTTTCATTCTCATGCTTTCATTGTCTGATTTTGCTGGGAAGGTTATACTGGCTTCAAGAATGAATTTGGGAGTATTCCTTATTTTTTTTATTCCCTGGGAGAATTTATATAGGATTGGGATTATCCATTCCTTGAAATGTTAGTAGAATTTACCTATAAAACCATCTCGGCCTTGACTCCCCTTTGTGGGAATGTTTTCAGTTATTGTTTCAATTTCTTTAATAGTTTTAGGACTATTCAGAATATCTATTGTTTTCCAGTTTTGGTAGAAATTTATTTTTACTAAGACTTAAAATTTTTTGGCATAGAGGTTTTGATGGCATTCGCTTGCTATTTTTTTAAATTTAATTTTTATTGTTTAAAGTATTACAAATAGTAGTACATATCTCCTTTTCCCCCCCATTTTTCCTTCCACCCCATCTCTTGCTATTTTTTTCTCAGTAATCTTTCATTTGCAAATGTAGCCACATGAAAAGATAAAATCTCCAGATAGTTGGCTGTCTTTGTGTTATTATCTTTTAAATCTCTGCTTTAACTATAGTTATGTTATTCTTTTTATGTATGATGTCATTTACTTGTATCTTTTATTCCCTTGATTGATCTTCCCAGAGATTTGCCTTTTTTCCCCCCCAAATAATTAATTCTTGGTTTTGTTGGTCTTTCTTATTGCATTTTTGTTTTCTATTTCATTGAATTCCATTTTGTTTATCATCTTTTTCTTTTTTTAAAAAAAATATATTTTATTGATTTTTTACAGAGAGGAAGGGAGAGAGAGAGAGAGAGCTAGAAACATGGATGAGAGAGAAACATCGATCAGCTGCCTCTTGCCCCACAACCATACATGCCCTTGACCGGAATCGAACCCGGGACCTTTCAGTCCACAGGCCGACACTCTATCCACTGAGCCAAACCAGCTACAGCTCATCTTTTTCTTTCTATTTTTTTTTGGGGGGGGGGTTATTGCATTTTTTTAAAAAGTCTTAGATGGGAATACTTAGGTCACTAATTTGACCTGAGGGTATTTGCCTCCCATCTGAACTGAGCTGAACAGCAGCTGTTTGAGTGAATGTGGGGCTGAGGGGGATGGAGGTGGAGGCCCAGAACCCAATGCGGGGATGTGGGAGGGGGATGGGGGGGAGTCTAATCGGAGACCCTTTACACTAAGCAGGACTCCAAAGGCCTAACCTTGGAGCAATGTTGCTTTCTCTCTAAACTCTTGTAAACTGATTTAAAACAAGAAAAAAACCCATAAGGAAGAAGAGAATACTACAGGAGTCATCAGCATTTTGTAAGCTGAAATGTAGAAGGATTTAATAGGCCCAGGAAAGCCAAATCCAAACTTGGAAAAGAAGCCTGAACCTTGAAGAGACCCAGAACCAGGCTTGCCAAGTATCTGGTTAACTGGGTGGACAGAGAAAAGACCCTTCAAGTTTGTAGAGGAAGAATAGATTGTAGACAAAAGATTATGGCTCAGAATGACCTTGGATTTTTTAATAGCACCAGTGGAAGCCAGAACACAACGGAGTGATATGTTCTGAAAAAGAGTTTGTAGTTAAACTGGTGATAAAAATGAGCAGACAAAGCCAATGACAGAAACAAGTCAATTATTAATTCCAAGGAAAATGAAATGTACAGGAAAACATGGTAGTAGCCTATACAGCTCATTTGATGGTAGATTTACAGTAAAAAAAAAAAAAGGCCCATAATGAATATTGATCTAATCAAAATGACAAATATCTATACTGGGAGGTTGATGAATAGTGGTTACATATGGGAAGGGAGAGTGGGGAGGGTGGAGTACTCATATGTGTTTTTGGGGCTGTGTTGGGGGGAGGATTGGGTTGATGAGAAAGTTTATCCTCTCTTTCCATGATGAGAAATCACTAGAGAATGCCCAAACCTCAAAAATGAAGAAGTAGCATTATAAGCATGTTATTTAGAGAAAGTACAGTAAATACCAGAAGGATTGAAAGCAGTTTCTCTGGGATTGAGAAAGAGGAGGGGGTGGGGGAGGAGGAGCCTCAGGGAATTGCTGATTTTCATAACAAACGATGTAGAATTTTCCAACTTAAATGTTTTTTTTTTAAATTATGGAGCATATGTATAACTTTGGTTAAACACACACACACACACACACACACACACACACACACACACACACAAACTAAATATACAAAAACCCCTGTGACTCATAGATACAGAAAATAAACTGATGGTTTCAGATGGGAGGGGGCTTGGAGGGCTGTGTGAAAAAGGGGATGGGATAGCCCTGCCAGCGTGGCTCAGTGGTTGAGTGTCGACCTGTGAACCAGGAGGTCACGGTTCGATTCCCGGTCAGGGCACATGCCTGGGTTGCAGGCTCGATCCCCAGCGTGGAGCGTGCGGAAGGCAGCTGATCAAGGATTCTCTCTCATCATTGATGTTTCTATCTCTCCCTTTCCCTCCCTCTCTGAAATCATTAAAAATTTGTTTACAAAAAAACGGGGGAGGGGGTAAGGGATTAAGATGCACAAACTGGTAATTATAAAATAGCAACGGGGATGTAAAGTACAGCATAGGGAATCTAGTCAATACTATTGAAATAACTCCATATGGTGCCAGGTGGGTACTAGACCCACTGGGTGCATCACTTTGTAAGTTATATAAATGTCTAATCACTATGTTGAACACCGGAAACTCATATAATACTGAATGTCAACTGTAACTGAAAAAGGAAAACAAAGACAAAACCCTGTGATCAGCAGCCTCATATGTATATCTTTAAGATTTTAAAACTTGTTTTCTTAGAATAAATTCCAGAGGGGGGCTTGCTGGGTCAATGGGCAATCTTGACGCTCCCACAGCCGTAGTCCTGAGGAGTACACCCATCTCACCCACGGGTGAC